GTGATTGGTCCGTCTGTGTGTATTGGAAGGAAGCACGGAGCGGCTGCAGCAGAGACATGGATGAGGCCCTATGGAGCAGAGAGCTTTGTGCTTCGAAGGAAAAGCAGTTTGGGCTCAGAGCCTGATATACAGGAGACAGTGGACTATCTAACATATATATAACTTATATCTAACATATATATAACTTATGACGAATATTCACAAAATGCTGCACATCAGACAAAAGAATATGCACTCAGGAATCATAGAGATGACCAGCTTACAAAAACCAGACAATTATTGACTCCAAGAATAAACAAATGCTCTCTCCCACTCTCGACGAGGGCAAAAGTCCAACACAATCAGGCGCCCAGTGGTGGGGGCCATTGTTTGCTCAGGCTGATATGGAGGACCAAGACCAGGACCAGGGTCCAGACCAGTCTCAGACCATGTGACGTCATCGGACATGTTGATAAAAGGGGGGATAGGGCAGTCTGGGAAAGAAGAGCAGGGATAGAGACAGAGAACATGGCAGAGCGCCTGCATGTTCTCTGCACATTTTTAGGCCTGGAGGGAAAGTTTAGGATGGCTTAGCATAGGGTTAGTTTTAGAGAATTAATGGCTCCAATGGCACTCCAATGGCACTCTCGCCTCTCAGCAAGAAGGTCCTGGGTTCGAATCCCGGCCGGACCAGGGCCTTTCTGAGTGGAGTTTGCATGTTCTCCCCGTGTCTGCGTAGGTTTCCTCCGGGTACTCCGGTTTCCCCTACCACTAAAAATATGTACAATAGTTCTGGCATGCGCCTCCTGTTCGGCGACCCCGCTCCCATCTCTGTGTGGAGTGAGAGGACAAGTGCCCAAAAATAACAATTGTAAACCGCTTTGTGACTCTGGTCTGTGAAAGGCGGTATATAAATAAAGCTTGCTTACTTACTTACTTACTTACTTGAAATGACTTATAAAATAATGAATCCATAAAACTATCACATAAACCTACAGTAGAAACACGTGTAATGAACTCAAACAGCTTTGTTTGTTATTGTTGTTCTGAAGAGGACAAAGTAGCAGCGTAAATGGGACCGCTCCTGTGTGATCGCCCTCATGTGGTTTGTTGTGGGATTACAACATTCTCCTCAAAACTCCGTAAGGGGAACGCGCCAGTATAACATCAATTGTGCTTACGTAGGTCCACCGCAACCGCTAACGTAAGCCACGCTGCGCAAGTATACACTAGGCTTTAAACTTACAATCTGTAGGTCACACTAAATGTCAAGGAAATGCTAAAAGTATCAAATAAATAAACATCCCTATCCCTTATCCCTAATACTCTGTAATGCTCTTGTGTATGTATGTATGTGTATATATTTACATGTGTGTACCCTTAAATAAACAAACTCCCTGCTCCATCATCATCTACTGCCATGTCTCATAAGTTTTTGTCTTCACCCTGTTTGGGTCAGTGATACATTCCTTACTCTGGATTCTGCCTTGTAATTACTTATATCAAATCACTTATTTTTGGCATTTTGAGATCATTTCCTTTTGAAGCCTGACACATATGAGCAGAGACGAAGCAAAATCAACTCCAGGTCTGTTTGAGAAGAAGGTACAACTTGCAAAATGGCCGTCAATAAAAAAAAAAAAAACCTTAGCATAATACGTCTTCTTTAAACGGTGTGAAAAGGCCACGGAGCAGAGCAGCGGGCGGCGGATGCTAATGCGAGCCAGGGAGCACTTATCTGATAAACATTTTAAAACGCCGGGCTCCATGCAACGCCACTGTCAGGATCCAAAAGGTGCAGAGTGCAGTCACCAGCTGCTAACGGCCACACGCAGAGCCACATCAGGCTGACAAACGGCTCAGGCTGACGTGGGCCGAGCCGAGCCGAGCCGCTGGAGGTGAGGCCTGATGAGAGACGCAACTATTTGACTTTTACAGCGAACCTCGAGGGCGAACAGAGTGGAATGGATGGGTTTTTAATGGGACGGTGATCAAATTAGTGCCAGAATGACTAATGAGAGTAATAGATTTGCACAAAAATGTCAAATTGTGACCGGAATGACGAATGTAATAATTAGATCTGGTTTGTATCAATGTTGGTGTTTGTGTAAAGCCAGAGAGAGAGAAAACAACTTAAAATGGGTGAAGACATAATCCCTTAGTTGTATTCACAGCTAAACAGAACTGTTTTTAACCTGGATTTGGTCAATTTGGCAGAGAAGAGGTCTGTCTCACGTGTTCAAGAAGACGGTTTGCATGAATCTGAAATGCTGCCTTCTCATGATTAGCCCTGACCAGAATTAGGCCAGAGTCCCAGCAGGAGGCCAGTCCCTGTGCTCCCCAGAGTCCCAGCAGGAAGCCAGTCCCTGTGCTCCTCAGAGTCCCAGCAGGAAGCTAGTCCCTGTGCTCCCCAGAGTGCGAGTTGGTACATTTGGCATAAAAGTAGTGAAAAACAGAGTATTTTTGGGTCAATGGGAGCCGTTGAAATGACTGTAAATAATCTTGTTTTTCAAAAATACATCCAAGACCCCACATTGTGTCCTCCTCTCTGCTCTAGGCCCTAATGGTGCGTCTCCATGGCGACCAGAGACTTCCTGCGGATCCAGGTCCTTGAGGAGTCCGAGGAGTGTGGAGACTTCTGGGTCACAGTCCGATGTGGAGAGCTCCTCCTGAGTCAGCTCTGGAGCCACAAGCCGCCGTTCGCTAACAGTACGGAGGAGCTAACAGTGCGCTGGAGCTAACGGTGGGCAGGCCGAGGCACAGGGCCACTTCAGGATATCCTCCAGGGGCGCGGGGAGCTCGTGTTGAGAAGATGAAGAAGGAAAGGTCGAAAATGTGAGACAGGCTTCTACTCTGACAATGTGCCAATTCAGGAACTGTGCTGTACAGTCAAAGTCCTTCCATCCTCGTTCATTGTGCTATTTTGATTTGAGTTGCTCTTGAGACACATTCCTTTCTTATAACAAAACCATTTTTTTTTTCAGATAATATCTAAACCAGCCTATGGGAAAACTCACTGGGAGAGTAAAAGTATGTGACAGCAGGAAACCGGTGAACTGGAAAGAATCATTAATCAGACTTCTGTTGTTTCTGACAGCTGCAGAACAGATGCAAATGCCACAAAGAGGAACTCATTGGAAAAATCTGCTAAAACCAACCTGTCGTCATCACTATAGACAAACAGGCAAACAGACAGCAGCTTGTTATCAAGGCAGGGGTGTTCAAACTTTTAGAGAGCCACTTTAGCTCACCAACATTGTCCAGGAGCCGACAACACGGATGGACTGGGTTCTGAGAGTTTTGAGGTTTAAAATGACGTATAGTGGTTCAAATTTGAATGACAAATGTTTACTCCGCAGAAACTTCAGCACCAAACAATCAAAAACAGATGTCAGTAAAGTCAAAAACTCAACGACAGGATTCCAGAGATGCTGAGCTTCACAACAAGGTGCATCCAGGTGTCTGGGTTGACAGAGCTGAAGGTGGCTGGATGACACTTTGCCTGGCTAACCCGTTGTGAGTAGCCGCAAATTCTGAGGACCTCGTAACATGACGCTGAGGGACGCAACTGGCCGGGTCTCTCTCCCCCTCGGCCCGGGTCTCTCTCCCCCTCGGCCCGGGTCTCTCTCCCCCTCGCCCCGGGTCTCTCTCCCCCTCGCCCCGGGTCTCTCTCCCCGGGTCGGCCCGGGTCTCTCTCCCCCTCGGCCCGGGTCTCTCTCCCCGGGTCTCTCTCCCCCTCGCCCCGGGTCTCTCTCCCCCTCGGCCCGGGTCTCTCTCCCCCTCGGCACTCCTTGTGTGTACATGGACCAGGGATGGGTGTAGGCTGTGGTTGGAGCCTCCCCCACAGACCCGCCCGTCCTCCCTGCTCCCTCATCTCTGGACTCACACAATAGAAGCTGATCTTGGGATTGTTTAACCACAGACTGGCCTCGCCGCGACTCAGTTGAAAGGAGACCTAGTGGCAGTGGTGGAAAGCAAAGTAAAAATAAACTGCTTTAGTTGACATTTCAGCTGCGCCTTCTCTGCTGGCCTAAACATAACCAGGAATGTATAAATGATATTATAATATTTACATATTTATTGTCTATCTATGTATTCAATTATTCCCCATGGTCTAGTGTTCCAGCCGCAAGTCGAGTTTTGGGGGGCTGGTGTTTTATCATAATTCAGCGTCATGTGTTCCTAGGTCCTAAATCTGCCTTTAGTCCTTCATAAACTTAAACACAATGAAAAACAACCGTGGCTAGAAGCAATCAGCGTCAAGATTGCTTCACTGAGGTCAGCATTTATAGTTTTTGGGACAGCTAGCAAGGGTAGCACGATCATTATTATGAACAGAATACGTGTATAACAGTCCATGGTAGCACAAGGGTCCGGGGGCCGCATAGAAATGTGAATCAGGCCGCATGTGGCACTCGGGCCACACTTTACCCAGGTCTGATGTAGATGGTAATCCTGAAGCTCTCAAAATAAACCTTTTGTGGATTGGGTGTAATCAAAAAACCCAGTGGTTCATGGAAACTAGCAATCATCATTATAGCATAGAATAGCATAACGTAGCTTAGCATAGCATATGAGGGTTTTAAAATGGCCTTCATGAATCTATCTCGTTCATGAACCAGTCTAATACAATGGGATTTCTCCTCAGTGCTCATTCTATTCTAGTATTTGTCGTGATGCAGTTGCAAATGGTTCAGTCTTCCTTTTCCCGGTTTATACAGACCGAGCCTGGAGTCATCAGAGACCCCCTGTGCTGCACGGAAACCAGTAATCATGGCCCCAATGCAGCTCAGACCGAGGAGAGCGAGGCAGAAGGCAAACGTCCTCATAAAGTACAAGTATAATACTGGGATAGATGGAGCCTCCTGCTAAGATTATTACTAAATTGAAAAAGCGAAGAGAAAGGCTTTTGCAATCAATAAAACCTCATCAGACTTTATTAAAGGAGACAACATGTTTCAGCCTCAGCATTCCACATAAACATTGAACTGAATGTAATGTGTGCTGCTGACTCCACTCACCATCGTATGTGAAATACCCGCCATCTTTGAAGACCACGACAGCAGGAAGCTCCGGGAGAGTTACGTCCTGGAATCACAACAGAATTATTCTTTCAGAAGGACTTTGAGATGGACTGGGGGATTGCATCTTCACCCTTTTTAATGTACCGTAATCATTTAGTATTAAGGAACGAGAGCGTTACCTCGGGCAGGACCTCCTCTGCTGCGGAGAAGAAGTATGTGTAGACGATGAGCTCGGACGCCACGTCGTTGTACTTTTCCTGCGACAAAATCATAATCAAGTCAATATTGAAGTCGTTTTCACAAATAGTGGCAAATAGTGTTTTCAATCAACGGCTGTGGCTCTAAAACAGGTCAAGTTAATGAAAATTTACACCACTAACAATTCCTACGGATATTAAAGTATAATGCAAATAATTGTGTTGGTTAAGAATATTTATTTTGGAATTGTATTGTTTAAAAAGACTTAAAACACCTTTTTCTGTAGTGTGAAAAAGCTGATAAACTAGAGATAGAAGCAAACGGTTTTGAGAGCGAAGAACTCGTTGGCTGTATTCATTTATAGATCCACTTTTTATGGTTTGCATCAGTTTCAGATCGCAGCCACTCCATGACCTGACATTTTGGGCCCGGCTCGACGAGAGGGTGTGTGGGCTTCTGTAAGGAGGTACGTACTCTGAGTGGAGAGTCCCCTCCCACGTAGACGAAGAGCACGTTGTGGCGCTTCAGCATGTGCGAGAACATCTGTTTACTGGGCAGAGCTCGCACGGCAGGACTGAGGACACAGGACAGAGGCTGAGTTAGAGGGATGGGGTCAATGTAGGCTCCTTACATGCTAAAATACTTGCTAAAATGCTAAAATACTACTGCTCAAAACAATCCTAAAAAGAATTGATGATGTTTTCAGTAGGGAACCAATGATTGGGATTCTGCCATTTAACTAGTTTATGATGGTCAATGGCTACTATGGCATGTTGTACCCATAGACTGTAAATATTAACGGCCGCAGTCACGCCTATCGCCGCCGTTCTAACTAATGTGCCACCACTTCCACGGTCTATGGGCAGTTTCAAAATGGCCGCGGGAGCTGGAAAATGTGAAAAAACACATCTGCACATGCGTCAGCTGCAAGAGCCCCATTCATTTAAACGAGTGACTTCTAAAGTCCACAGCGACTAAACTAGACTGGTCCAGAACACTCCCCTCAGCATTGACACACATGTGGAACGGAGCTTTGGGCCAAGAGACAACTTTTGGACCATCCTGTAAAGACATTTTTGAGAGGTAAGAAGATGCTATATGTTAGCATTGGATAATTCTCATTCCAGGTCCACCCCCACAGGCCTGGGGTGGTATTGCAGCATGTCAGCGCACGTCATTTTGGCCACTTTTGAGCTGGGACCCGCCCACACTGGTTATACCTCATTTTAGTGTGTGTGTCTTTTTGGAGAAAAATCAAGATGGAGATAGTAAAATGGTCCAATAATGCAAAATACCATCTTCTCTGCTTAGTATAAATAAAATAAAATACACATTGCTAACGTACTATTGACTGGAAAAGGAAAACTAAAATACTAGAATCGTTTTGTTTTTAGAATCCGTTAAGTTTTCATATGAATGCAAAATGGACTATAAAGACATCCGGCTTCCAACTAAAGCCAAATCACAGACTTGTCATTTCACGGCTGATAAAACCACATTGATAAATGCATTATGTAGAGATGTGATGGTAATGTTCATGTTTAAAGTAATGTTAATGTTCGGCTTTAAACACTCTTTAATGCAACTATATAAATGATTCAAAGGTGCTTTTTAGCTTCGCAGCCTCTTCCACCACATCTGATCAAAGACTTATACATCTACCCTTTGTACGAATGTGATTTTGTTTTTCTGGATCCAAAAAGAACCAGTTTTAATTAAAAGCCTTTTCTTGTTTTGATGGCATTTAAAAGTCTCCCTGAGGACATTAGCCACATCTCACTGCACAAATGAAGCTAAAAGGGCCTTTACATACAGAGATGTTTGGGGAGAGATGGGAAGCACAGCGGCTGAGTGGTTAGCCCTCTCGCTTCTCAGCATCCAGGTCAGAGCAGGGACTTTCTGAGTGCAGTTTGCATGTTCTCCCAGTGTCTGTGTACATTCTCTCTGCTCTGGTTTCTCCTACCACTAGAAATATGTAGAAGTAGTATGGTTCACACTAGGTACTTCTGCACAAATATTCCTTTTATACATTATTGCGTCTTTGCACACATCTCAGCATAATCAAAAGCAAAAACCATATTAGACACACTTTTTTTCTTTTTTTCACTTTTTTCCACCCATTGTATACAAACAATAAAAATCCCAATAAATCTGCATAAATATTCCAATTTGGTTTTACTGCAAATTACAAAAATCTAGAGACGTTACTACGGCGACCACTGCTCCTGACAGAGGCCCTAGCAGCCGTGAAGGATGGGTAAAAAGCAGACAACACATTACCCCAATGGGAAGAATAAGCCATAACATTATAATAGTCACTGCAGCGTGTACCGCTGGAAGAAGTCTGGGTTGGTATCTGGGTCTGTATTTCTAGTTAAATATTAAAAAACAAACGCATTTTAAATCATTTACAGTCAGAAAAACCATCTATCCAGCTGCTCAGGCTCTTTCCGTGTGCTTGTACTGCCCCCTCATGGCCACTGCGTGCATTACACCTTTGAATGCACCGATCAAGACCCTCTGTCATGGATCTGAGCAGATTTCCCTGAAGGAGGCGAGTGTGTCATGTGCCTGGATAATGCGGCCCTCGGATTAATGTGGCCAGAGCCGATAAGAGCGTTTGGACGGCTTTATTATCGCCACAAAGTCATATTTCTCATGGCAGTTATTGGAAAGCAGAGAATGGAGCCACTCACCCAGACACTCTGTTGGTGAACTCCACAATGTCGTCTTTTGTCCGTGGGCCTTTGTAGTTGTAGGCAAGGTCGCCTTTTAACCTAGGAGACAGAGACAGAGGACACACAGAGGAGAGAGAGAGACAGACAGGAGAGAGAGACAGAGAGAGAGACAGAGACAGAGAGAGGAGAGAGCAGAGAGGAGAGAGAGACAGAGAGAGAAGAGAGGAGAGAGAGAGACAGGAGAGAGAGACAGAGAGAGGAGAGAGGAGAGACAGAGGAGAGAAAGTCAGAGACAGAGACAGAGAGGAGAAAGAGAGGAGAGAGAGAGGTGAGAGAGGTGAGAGAGAGGATAAAGAGAGGAGAGGGAGGTGAGAGAGGAGACGGAGGCAGAGGAGACTAAAGTTAGTACTTAATCAGGGCTGGAAAGGCAATCAAAGCCAGTTGTATTTATTACTTGCGTGCCAGTCTTTGACCAGTTTCCAGTCTTTGACCTTCTTCTATCTGCTATAATCATTGTTCTATTCAAGTTTACAGACCAGCAGTGCAGATTTTCACTCTTCTGAAAACTAGATGTAATTAGGAAATGGCAGGGAGGACAATTACAATCCAAGTAGGACTGAAAGATATGGACAAAATGGTTGATATTCAATTGAATTTGATTTAAATCACAGCAGCAGTCGTCTCAGAGGAGATTCCTCAAAAACAGATCAGAGAATCCAACAGCTCGAACACACAAATGGGAGACATTGGTCCATGTGTCCTGCTCCGCCCAGCAGCTGAACCTCCTCTGCTGCCCTTTCTTATTATTACTAATGTTAGATTATAAGAATGATCAATTCTTTGTTCTGTTTGTGTGGATGGATGTGTTTTTGATGCTAATGGACACCTGCATTCCTCCTACAGGGATCAAGAAAGTATCTAACTATCTGTGTGCTGTATGTATGGGGAGAGGGATGACCACTGCCCAGAAATGTTTAAAAAACCAATTATCAACATTATAAAACTATATATATTACACTTATATATCTCACTCATTGTGTGACGAGTCTGTTATATAATTGTAAGTTCAGACTCTGAGGAGCACAGGGACCGGCCTCCTGCTGGGACTCTGAGGAGCACAGGGACCGGCCTCCTGCTGGGACTCTGAGGAGCACAGGGACCGGCCTCCTGCTGGGACTCTGAGGAGCACAGGGACTGGCCTCCTGCTGGGACTCTGAGGAGCACAGGGACTGGCCTCCTGCTGGGACTCTGAGCAGCACAGGGACCGGCCTCCTGCTGGGACTCTGAGGAGCACAGGGACTGGCCTCCTGCTGGGACTCTGAGGAGCACAGGGACCGGCCTCCTGCTGGTCCCAGAGTCAGGACTAGACAGTGTTTTGTTCAGCACTTTGAGTCGTCTTGTGTATGGACCGTGCTTTACAAAATCACTTGCCTGGGCTTAAGCTGTATTAAAGAAGTACATTTTTACAGCAGTTCATTTCTTAATAGCGGAAACATTGAGTAAATTGGCAAAACCATCATTTGCTTACACAACCAATATTGTGATTAAGAACTCTATCATAAAACAATGGAAACCTCCGCAAGCTCTGGAGTCGTCCTCGCACCATTCTCCGCTCATTACTAACTTTCCACTAACCTCAGGGCGCTTCTTTTCTCTCTCTCAAAACAAAATCAATACAGTAATTATGCCGGCGAAATAAACAAGCGAATAAATATCCCTGGGCAGATTCGGCTGCAGCGAGTTCTAAATGACTTTCTGATTACAGGACTAATCCAGCAGGCCACGCTTCCGACCAGAAGGAGGTGAAACGTCAAGTTTGGGAGAAATGAAAGTCTGGAATTGAGTCTGAGAGAGACAGAGAGAGAGAGAGAGAGAGAGACAAAGAGGCAGAGAGAGAGAGAGACAGAGAGACAGAGAGACAGAGAGACAGAGACAGAGAGACAGAGAGACAGAGAGAGGCAAAGACAGAGAGAGACAGAGAAAGACAGAGAGGCAGAGACAAAGAGACAGAGGCCGAGAGAGAGAAGTAAACACAGAGAGAGAGAGACAAAGAGAGAAAGAGAGGTAGAGAGAGGCGCAGAGAGAGGTAGCGATACAGAGAAAGAGACCGACAGAAACAGAGAGACAGAGACTGAAAGAGACGGAGAGAGAAACAGAGACAGAGAGAGAGAGAGACGGAGACAAAGAGAGAGACAGAGAGAGAAACAGAGAGAGAGAAAGAGAGAGGGATCTTCACTGCAGATAGGAGGGTGTGTCAGACTGTGTGGATTCATGAACTTAGGTGGAGGAGGAGGAGAGATGGGAGAGAGGGGAGGAGGAGGGGAGAGAGGGGGGGAAGAGGGGAGAGAGGGGGGAGAGGGAAGGAGGAGGGAGGATGAGGGTAGAGGGGGGGAAGAGGGAAGGAGGAGGGGAGAGGAGGAGGTGGTGTCATCAGCTGAGCCCTGCCATCGCACTGTCACGCTTTTAATGAGTCTGAGGACAGCGAGAGAGAGAAGGGAGAGAGCGTGCAAATGAGAGAAAAGAGTGAGTGCAAGAGAGTGAGAGGGAATGTGGGAGAGCGAGAAAGGTGACTTCTACTTTTTATTTTATTTATTTATTATTGATTTTGTTTGAAGTATGGGTGGTCCTCTCCAACACCCCTGCTCCAGCAAATGAATGTGCAAAGTTCTACATATTAATAAATATGAGTAAATACTCCAACTATAATTTTAAACGGTCAAAATAATGTGTAAAATTCATTCTTTAAACAGAGGGACTGAGGACAACAAAGAAAAAGGTCCTGTCTCCTTCCTTCCTTATCCCCCAGAAACATCCTGTCAACAAACTCCGTATTTTAGCACAAGTTTGGAGTTTATTTTGCTAAAACACAGGCGTTTGCTGTTTGTGTGCGGTTAGTTTTGTTGTGAAATGATGTTGCTATAATAGATATATATTGTATTTTGAGAGTGCACTTCATTCGCTCTGCATTACCGGAGCTAAAAGTGTGGAGTGGAGGTGTAAATCTAATTTGCATCGGCGTGAACAACAGCTAATTCCCCAGTCTGTAATATCCAGGTCCATCCCACTGGAGCCGGAGTCCAGAGGCTCACGGCGACAAGAATAACTCAATAATAAAACGTCACAAGAGACAGAGAGAGATTATGACTCAATAATTACAATACTGTGTGTCGTGCGACTAGTTAAAGATGAGGAGCCAAACTATATTGTCTTAAATAATGTCATAAATAATCTATGTTTGTGCCTTTGTTGTTTGTTTGTGACAGACCTCAACTGCTGTCTCCATCTTCATCTCTTGTTATGCTGGGTTTCAATGAGTTCAGATGATGCTCAATGAGGACAGAGTGAGAGAGGCCAGACAGTGAGAGAGGCCAGAGAGAGAGAGAGGCCAGAGAGAGCGAGAGAGAGGCCAGAGAGAGAGAGAGAGAGGCCAGAGAGAGAGAGAGAGAGAGGCCAGAGAGAGAGAGAGAGAGGCCAGAGAGTGAGAGAGAGAGGCCAGAGAGAGAGAGAGGCCAGAGAGAGAGAGAGAGGCCAGAAAGAGCGAGAGAGAGGCCAGAGAGAGCGAGAGAGAGGCCAGAGAGAGAGAGAGAGACCAGAGAGAGAGAGAGAGGCCAGAGAGAGAGAGCCAGAGAGAGGCCAGAGAGAGAGAGGCCAGAGAGAGAGAGAGGCCAGAGAGAGAGAGAGAAAGAGGCCAGAGAGAGAGAGAGAGAGGCCAGAGAGAGAGAGATAGAGAGAAAGAGAGAGAGGCCAGAGAGAGAGAGAGAGAGAGAGGCCAGAGAGAGAGAGAGAGACCAGAGAGAGAGAGACCAGAGAGAGGCGAGAGAGAGAGAGAGGCCAGAGAGAGAGAGACCAGAGAGAGAGAGACCAGAGATAGAGGCCAGATAGAGGGAGTGAGACAGAGACTGATAAGTGTGCGACTTCTTTATATTTCACCTTTTAAAAGTAAGTGACAAAGTAAATAGTCTCAACATGGTTTTAAATTGCCAAAAATAATATAATATGTCGTCTTTAAACAGTGGGACTGAGGACAACAAAGAAAAACTAAGAAATATCGGGTGAAAAACTAAAAGTTCCTGCGTACCATGTGCTGAGGTCCTGTCTCCTTCTGTTTGAAGTGAGGTACCCCAGCTTTAACTACACTCTTCAGATCTCTAGAACGTTCTGGAAGTAAATGGGACTGAGTGGATCTTTGGAAACTCTTCTTCTACAACACAGTTTTTGTTGAGTAAAACTTGACTAAAACCATGGCGCCTGCTTTTCCTGAGGCCTGGAGCGGCTGCTAAAGTCGTATTGATTTCTCTGCAGCGTTCCAGAGGACATTTGGAGAGAACATCTTGTTGTTTGGACAGTTGTTTTTTAAATACATAAATATCACAGGGACAGAAACAGTGTCAGAGGCAGGAGGGGACTTACAGTTTTATTGTGGGGTAACCGCGGACTCCAAACTCCGAGGCCATACCTGTAACACACACCTCAGTATTTAAGATTAAGATTAAGATTAGAGAGAGACTTCATTCTTCCCACAGTGGGGTAAATAATCAATCAATCAATCAACTTTATTTGTATGGCGCCTTTCCAACACAAGGCCACTCAAAGCGCCTCACAACCCACATAATATCACACAAATCAGAGACATCAATAAATACATTAAAAACAGAATAAAATCACAAGTAATGGAAAAAAAAAAAAAAAAAAAAAAAACTTAAAATATTAAAAGCACACACGGGATTAAAATAATAAATAACCACAATGCATTAAAAAAAGGAGTATGTATCAATAAAATCCTTCAGCCGTATGCACAGCTAAAAAGAACAGTTTTTAGCCCTGATTTAAAAATTGCCAGAGTAGATGCTAGCCTCACATCTTCAGGAAGATTGTTCCAGATTTTAGCTCCATAAATCTCAAACGCTGCCTCCCCATGTTTAGTTCTGACTCTTGGAATCAGTAAGAGGCTACCTCCTGTGCTCCTCAGAGTCCGGGCCGGTTCATATGGGACTAACAAGTCGCTTAAGTACTTTGGTGCGAGGCCATGGAGAGACTTGTACACAAGCAGTGCTGCTTTGAAGTCTATTCTCTGAGCCACAGGCTCAAGAATCTTACAGTTATTACAGCATATACTAAAGCAGACGTCTCCAACCTTCACACATGCACGTTTTATATCAGTTTTTACTTTTTTTGCATAACTAATAACGGCAACTACAATAATTTTGCTTTGGTTGAGTTTGAGACCAAAGTGACAGTGAGGATCTCCTTCAGACAGAGTTAAAACATCAGTCTGCAACATTGAATTAAGTTGTTTTTATGGGTAAGATATGGGTAAGTGCAATACAATACTGCCCTTTAGGCTTATCGAAGTGAAAGTATGGAATGATTATGGGGTGCTCTCTGTTTTGATCCCGTTATCAACAGTTTCTCTGGTCCTACAGGTCTCCGATGGTGCTGTTGTACTGGTCCTAGAGGCCTTGTGTATGAACTGTGCTATACGAAAAAAAGGCCATCATCAAAACTGAGTTGAGGTTTTCTTGTCCCTCGTCTTTAATGATACAGCAGTGGAACAGATGAGACAATCAAAACAAACAGCCCCATTAGTGATAATTGGGACAAACGGGGCCTCTCTGTGTTGATAATAATGGACGACCTGCCGTCTCACATTACGACAGCTAACGACGTGTCATGTTGTGGGAAAAGTCAGTCCATTAAGATTCGGAGAGAAGCGGGTACGGAAATTTGAAGTCTGTGTCTGGTACTACAAACCATTCAAATTTCACTAAAGAGTCGACTGTAAGGCCTAGCGTACATCGACAGAGAAACTGGGGACAACTAGTTGCAAGGCGGCTTTTGGCAACTGAGAGGAGATGATGGAGATGATCAGTTGCCGAAATCGGTCGATGTGCGCGCTCTTACAACTGGAGATGATCAGTCGGTCTCCAGTTCCAGTCAGTTGCCCGTGTTCTACTTTTCGGCAACTAGTTGTCCTCAGTTGCTCCGATGTGCGCGCTCCATGCGCCGCTCCGACAACGTGTGTGTATTGCGTGTATTGCGAGCCCGCAACAGTTTGTTGTCAGAAAACACACTGTAGTTGAGGCCAGTTGCTGTCGATGTACGCGCTGTTATTCAAGAGACTGGCCTGCGACTCAGAGTTGCCCGTTTTCGCCAGATTGTCGATGTGTGCGGGGCAGCAACTCAGAGGCGACGGATATAATCAGTTGCCAGTCCGATGTACGCTAGGCTTTAGGCCTAGGACCACGCCAAAGACTCCACTGGGAAGAGCACTCACCGGAGAAGGCGGTGGCGTCCATCTTCCCCACGCGGACGGGAGAGCCAGAACTCTTCAGCTCGGCCCCCACGTCGTGCCAGATCGGCTCCAGCTTCTTACAGTATCCGCACCATGGGGCGTAGAACTGCAGGAGACAGAGGCAGCAGATCAGACAGAGACCACAGATGAGAAACGGATCAGAACCTACCGCACGAGGAAGTTCTGATGGACCAGACATTCATTGTCAGGTTCACAAACAAAAGCCCCGTTTCCACCATCCCTAACCGACCTTATCCATTTACTCTACCCCCGTTTGTTTTTACACTGGTCCTTGTTTAGTCCCTCTTGGTCCTGGTTCTATCCAGGCCGAGCTGGTACTAAAGTGTTCTAACTGACAGAGATTGGTCAGAGTTCTAATGGAAGACAGGGTTACCAAGGAATTTTCACAGGGGTCCCCTGAAAGTTAAATTCTCCTACTGATGATATTTGTTCTGTCTAATACTGGATCCTTTCTGTGATATAAAACCTGTCCAGTCCCAGTGGCTTTGTGAGGCATGCATGACTTCTCACTGACACAGGGGTCCGACAGCCCCCCCCCCCCCCCCCCCCCCCCCCCCACACTACACCCCCCTATCCATCCATCCATCCACCCACACATCCGCTGGACACAATGTGATGAGAAGAAATTAAGCTCCAGAGAAAAGGCCGGACTTACATCGACCAGCCAGACGTCGTTCACTCGGGAATCTTTGAACCTGAAAAACACACAGAATGGTTTATGCACCGGGCATGACCAAACCCTGGCCCCCGAGCCAAACGCGGCCCTCTGTGTCTGTGTATCTGGTCCTCTGCCTTGCTAACACACCATCATCTTTGCAATAATAGACACCAGTTCACAGTGTCATCCAGCCAACTTCAGCTCTACCAATATATGTGAGAACCTCTAGAACTCAGCTGTTGCCGTTTTTTGTACACACTCACATTTGTTTTGATTGTGGGTCGCTAATGTCACTGAGATGTGAGATGTGAGATGGTAAACATTTTTCATAATTTGTATAATATTTTAAAAGATCATTTATTTGAATCTTTTCCAGAATAGTTTTAAAAATGTGGCCATTACTTTAGCTGTTGCAAACTCCTTGTCCTGAAACCCACAAACCTTTCCGTCTTACTGTGAGTTATGCACCACACCTTTAATTAGTTTATTTTTAGCCGTTCAAAAAAGCCCTCACACACATGCCCCAGTGAGTTATTGTGCCGTGCAATTAGACTGTTGTGTTTTTGTAAAATTAAAGCCCCGCGGGAGGTCACCTTTAAAAGAGCTGCAGTCTGTTCCTTCTGAGTCTGTGCTTTTCTCTTTGTATTCGTGGAAAATTGTTGATATGACGAGAAATGAGCCGTCGATGAGAGAAAGCTGAAGCAGAACTGGCTTCTCTACTCTCTTTGATGTATTATAATAAACTTCTAAGCCTTAAATTTAAAGAAGACATGATTTTTTTATATTTTTACATTTGATGACTCATTATAAACCCAAGTTTTTGTCTAATAATCCACATTTGCCGACTGTAAAGAGCGGATCAGGGGTCTCCAACCTTCTACTTTTATACCACAGAAGAAGCGAGACAGGCGAGATTGTTGCCGTCGTAATAAACATTTAATAAATACAATAAAACATGGAGAACACTGTAAAACAACCATAATACTGCATTACTCTGTGTTTATACATATGTCATCAAAATGGAGGAATAATCTGAAGGACACTCACAATAACAATTCTCTACTTCCTGTATTCAAATGGTGCAACTTATTCTGCCACTAGCTCTCCCTCTCTGGGGTCTCTCCCTCTCTGGGGTCTCTCCCTCTCCGGGGTCTCTCCCTCTCTGGGGTCTCTCCCTCTCTGGGGTCTCTCCCTCTCCGGGGTCTCTCCCTCTCCGGGGTCTCTCCCTCTCCGGGGTCTCTCCCTCTCCGGGGTCTCTCCCTCTCCGGGGTCTCTCCCTCTCTCCGGGGTCTCTCCCTCTCCGGGGTCTCTCCCTCTCCGGGGTCTCTCCCTCTCTCCGGGGTCTCTCCCTCTCCGGGGTCTCTCCCTCTCTCCGGGGTCTCTCCCTCTCTCCGGGGTCTCTCCCTCTCCGGGGTCTCTCCCTCTCTCCGGGGTCTCTCCCTCTCCGGGGTCTCTCCCGCTCTGGGGTCTCTCTCTCTCTCCAGGGTCTCTCTCTCCGGGGTCTCTCTCTCTCCGGGGTCTCTCCCTCACCAGGGTCCCTACCTCTGCTCTCTCCCTCTCTCGGGTCCCTCTCTCCCTCTCTCTGGTCTCTCTCTCTCTCTCCCTCTCTCTCTCTCCGGTCTCTCTCTGGTCTCTCCCTCCCTCTCTGGTCTCTCTCTATCTCCCTCTCTGCTCTCTCTCCCTCTGCTCTCTCTCTCTCTGCTCTCTCTCTCTCTCTCTCCCTCTCTGCTCTCTCTCTCTCTCCCTCTCTGCTCTCTCTCTCTCTCTCTCTCTCTCTCTCTCTCTCTCTCTCTCTGCTCGCTCTCTCTCTCTCTCCCTCTCCCTCTCTGCTCTCTCTCTCTCTCTCTCTCTCTCTCTCTCCCTCTCCCTCTCTGCTCTCTCTCCCTCTCCCTCTCCTCTCTGCTCTCTCTCCCTCTCCCTCTCTGCTCTCTGCTCTCTCTCTCTCTCCCTCTCTGCTCTCTCTCCCTCTGCTCTCTCTCTCCCTCTCCCTCTCTCTCTCTCTCTCTCTCCCTCTCTGCTCTCTCTCTCTCTCTGCTCTCTCTCTCCCTCTCTGCTCTCTCTCTCTCTCCCTCTCTGCTCTCTCTCTCTCTCCCTCTCTGCTCTCTCTCTCTCTCCCTCTCTGCTCTCTCTCCCTCTGCTCTCTCTCTCCCTCTCTTCTGCTGCTGTGTGGGATGTGTATGTGTTTGAATGGACAGCAGAGAGACTTACGAATCATCCAGATCCTCCACGAAGGCAAAAACAGCTGGCCCCAGGAGCACTGCTAGGACTGCACCACACACAACACACACCACAGCATTCACATTAGCATTGTCACTGTTATTATTAGCATAAACAGCCTCATGTAGCATCTCTCGCAGCCGTGGCATAGCAGCAGCATCCACCGGGCTAAGCTAGCTAACTGTGTGTGTTTTCTGGGTCTTACAGTAACAAATAAGAATATAGAGTGAATAAATGAATAGAAATGTGTGCGTGTGATCTGCGCGGTTTATAAAAAGTGAGAGTACCTGCAGAAATCAGGGAGGTTTTCACTTGAGCCCTCATCATCCTCATCCTCATCGCTCCAACTGCTCACAGCAAGCAGGAAACACAGACGCCGGACTGCGCATGCGCTGTTCTAAAAGCGCGATAATAAATAACAGGAAGGAAATATTATTATTTTTACTTTTGTTATTGAAAAGAAAAAGCAGAAACATCTTCATCCGTAATTTAGAAAAGGTTCAAGGTTGAAAAAAACCGTTTGTTTTTTGTTGCAGATGTTAAAGCTGGGGTTTATAAAGCCGTTTCTACCAGCTCTACTCTACTCTACTCTACTCTACTCTATTCTGTTTTACTCTACTTTACTCTACCCTACTCTACTCTACTCTACTCTGTTTTACTCTACTTTACTCTACCCTACTCTACTCTACTCTACTCTGTTTTACTCTACTCTACTCTACCCTACTCTACTCTACTCTCCTATACTATACTCTACTCTACTATACTTTACTCTGTTCTACTCTACTCTACTCTGCTGTATTCTACTCAACTCTACTTTACTCTGCTCTCTCGTTTCTACTCTACTCCAATCCACTGAAAAAAATGTTACATTTTAAAACAGAATTATTATTATTTTTTAAATACCAAAACCAATAATAGTTGGTAGTTCTAATAATAGTTAGGTAGGTAATGAAGACACTTTGAAACTGGCAATGAAAATGAATTATTGGATAAAGAGGATTTCAGAGGTTTAAACAAAAGTCCATCATTTCAACTTAAATGGTCGGAAAAAGTCAGGAGCACAGCTAATAAATAAAGTTTATTTTATGTTATAATAAAAAGTGTCCACAGGGGGCGCTGCAACATCACAATGGGCAGCAGAGGATTCCCAAGCTCAGGCTGAGCTGTGACTTTTGAGATGTTTGTTTAGTTTTTTACGTGGAAAAAAGTACTACTGTAGGAAAGAGTCCCATACTTTGGGCTGATTGGGGATTATTGTTTCACTTTTCTGTCTGAAAAAGCAGATTTAAAGATGGGACAGAGACAGAAACATATGGTCCTGAAAACTAGTGACAGATATGGCTTTAATGTATGAATCACTATTTATTATGTTTTATTACAATCCTACTGGGACTCTGAGGAGCACAGGGACTGGCCTCCTGCTGGGACTCTGAGGAGCACAGGGACTGGCTCCTGCTGGGACTCTGAGGAGCACAGGGACTGGCCTCCTGCTGGGACTCTGAGGAGCACAGGGACTGGCCTCCTGCTGGGACTCTGAGGAGCACAGGGACTTGAATCTTCACTCTTTTTAATGTACTATGAATATTTTTAATATTAATTTGTTTTTTCAATGTTTATTTTCTTGTTTTGTTCATCACTTTGAGTTTCCTTGTGTATGAACTGTGCCAAACAGAAACTTGCCCTTTGCCAAACTTTCCAGGCCATTTGACAGAGAGCATGTGGTGAGAAACCCCGTCCCCTCCGTCACACGGTGAATGGCGATGGGGAAGGCGCCGCTGAACCATGAGGCCTGGTTCATTCAAGCTCGAGCTTTCACTGCCTTTGTGTTCGGAGCCGAGGCCAAAGCAGTCGCTCACAACACACTGCAGACAGACTGCTCCCTGTGTCTGCGGAGCCAGGATCTATACAGAGCTCTAATCATGTCAGAAGGTCCACAGAATGTCACTTTATCTACTCATAATCCTGCCCTTTATGTATGTAACTTTACACTATTTACATATAGATAGATGGAGATACAATATATTGATATTTAAAGCTAGCTAAGAAACATATATTTTGTGTGTGTGTGTGCTCTTACTACTGTCCTGCATGTGCGCTGCAACATTGGAATTTCCCCACTATGGGACGAATAAAGGGAACACATTACCCCTGTGCTGGCCTCACTTCACTGGCTCCTGCTGGTGTCTATCTCTGATCTTTTGGTCTCGTTTTGGTCTCACTCACTCTGGTAACTCTCTGGTTTGTCTCTGGTCTCTCTCTCTTTGGTCTCTCTCTGCTTTCTCTCTCTGGTCTCTCGCTCTGGTCATTCTCTCTGGTCTCGTTTTGGTCTCATTCTCTCTCTGCTCTCTCTCTGCTCTCTCTCTGGTCTCTCTCTCTGGCCTCTCTTTGGTCTCTCTCTGCTTTCTCTCTGGTCTCTCTCTCTGGCCTCGCTCTGGTCTCTCTCTCTGGTCTTTCTCTGGTCTCTCTCTGGTCTCTCTCTCTGGTCTCTTTCTGGTCTCTCTCTCTGGTCTCTCTCTGGTCTCTCTCTGGTCTTTCTCTGGTCTCTCTCTGCTTTCTCGCTCTGGTCTCTCTCTTTGGTCTTTCTCTAGTCTCTCTCTGGTCTCTCTCTCTGGTCTCTTTCTGGTCTCTCTCTCTGGTCTCTCTTTCTGGTCTCTTTCTGGTCTCTCTCTCTGGTCTCTCTCTGGTCTCTTGCTGGTCTCTCTCTGGTCTCTCTCTGGTCTCTCTCTCTGATCTCTCTCTGGTCTCTCTCTCCGGTCTCTCTCTGGTCTCTCTCTCCGGTCTCTCTCTGGTCTCTCTCTAGACTCTCTCTCTGGTCTATCTCTGGTCTCTCTCTAGTCTCTCTCTCTAGTCTCTCTCTCCGGTCTCTCTCTGGTCTCTCTCTCTGGTCTCTCTCTGGTCTCTCTCTGGTCTCTTGCTGGTCTCTCTCTGGTCTCTCTCTCTGATCTCTCTCTGGTCTCTCTCTGGTCTCTCTCTCGGTCTCTCTCTGGTCTCTCTCTGGTCTCTCTCTAGACTCTCTCTCTGGTCTATCTCTGGTCTCTCTCTAGTCTCTCTCTCTAGTCTCTCTCCGGTCTCTCTCTGGTCTCTCTCTCTGGTCTCTCTCTGGTCTCTCTCTGGTCTCTTGCTGGTCTCTCTCTGGTCTCTCTCTGGTCTCTCTCTCTGATCTCTCTCTGGTCTCTCTCTCCGGTCTCTCTCTGGTCTCTCTCTGGTCTCTCTCTGGTCTCTCTCTGGTCTCTCTCTGGTCTCTCTCTGGTCTTTCTCTAGTCTCTCTCTCTGGTCTCTCTCTCCGGTCTCTCTCTGGTCTCTCTCTGGCAACAAAATACTCTTTTTAAAATAGTAAAGTTACAAAGTCCATCAATTCAAGAACGATTAAAAACAAACACGTTTAATTTGTAAAGTTACACATTGATTTCTACAAAAACACAGTTGAATCTTTGTCCAAAACTTTAAGAAAACGTCACATCTGTAAAGAAAGAGGGAAGTTAGAGTATTCACACTGTGTTACTCAATATATAAAAATATCTCTAAACGCAGGCGGCGATCGGGTGGTTTTAATTTAGTGGCTTCAAACTATGATAAAAATAAATGCTGTGATTGTTTTCCTCTAATCTATGACCTCAGTCTGAGCAAACATGGAGCTCCGGCCTCAGCTGACCCGGCCACAAAGCCCTCATTCACTGAGTCAGCACAATTACTGCTCCCTCTGTCATCTGGAAGTATACTGCTGACTCCATATACTTTAGTAATACTCACAATTACTGCACACATTAGTAATACTCACAAGTATCTTTAGGGACACTTTGGCAGGGAAACGACCCACCGTTCTATCGTCACTTACAGTAAAAAATGGGATGTTAATGTTTGAGAGTAAAGTAGTTTTAACGCAGACAAAGTGCAGATAGAGAATTTCTGTAGAGTTGCCAGATTGGGACCAAATATTATCTGAAACAAAGTTAAAGGAGCAATATGTAAAAATGTGGCCAAAAGTGGTACTGCAGCCTCTCCCACTCTCCCTGACTCAGGTTGCCAGATATGCAGACGAATCCAGCTGGGACCATAACAGCTGAATAGACAAGAGTTTTGTCAACAACAAATCTATAACCAACACCTTTTTCACAAAGATTGAAATCCTGGTTTTATTCCTTGTTTTGTCGTTAATGATTTGAGAATCATAACGAGACCTTTTTTAGTTCTGCGCCACATGGTACTTTACCAGTGAGATTAGCTCCACGCGGTGAGTTCTGGCGCCAGGATCACAGACTTTCTGATTGGTGAAACGGTGGAGGGCGGGACATCGAAATGAAAACAATAACAAGATTTAGAGGCTGGAAAAGTAATTTAGAAATTCAAATATCTCTGAACTACTGTTATCAGTTAAAGAAGTATTGGAAAAGAGCAGTTTATTATTATGACAGATTAGGGCCCTTTAATGATGACAGATTAGGGCCCTTTAATTATCACAGATTAGGGCCCTTTAATGATGACAGATTAGGGCCCTTTAATTATCACAGATTAGGGCCCTTTAATGAGGACAGATTAGGGCCTTTTAATGATGACAGATTAGGGCCCTTTAATGATGACAGATTACAGCCCTTTAATGATGACAGATTAGGGCCCTTTAATGATGACAGATTAGGGCCCTTTAATGATGACAGATTAGGGCCCTTTAATGATGACAGATTACGGCCCTTTAATGATGACAGATTAGGGCCCTTTAATGATGACAGATTACGGCCCTTTAATGATGACAGATTAGGGCCCTTTAATGATGACAGACTAGGGCCCTTTAATGATGACAGATTACGGCCCTTTAATGATGACAGATTAGGGCCCTTTAATGATGACAAACTAGGGCCCTTTAATGATGACAGATTAGGGCCCTTTAATGATGACAGACTAGGGCCCTTTAATGATGACAGATTACGGCCCTTTAATGATGACAGATTAGGGCCCTTTAATGATGACAGACTAGGGCCCTTTAATGATGACAGATTAGGGCCCTTTAATGATGACAGATTACGGCCCTTTAATGATGACAGATTAGGTCCCTTTAATGATGACAGATTAGGGCCCTTTAATGATGACTTGACATGGATATTTTACATATTGCTACTTTAAGCTACTCTCTATAGGAGTGACGTTAAGACTTCTGTTTGTACTTTCAGGATTTTCCATTCGCAGTTAAAGGCTCAAAGGAGGAGGATACATATAATACTGTCGCTTCAATGTTAATCAACTTCATTCAGTCCATTTTTCCCTTTTATTAATTAATGTCTGGGTCAGCAATCAAAGGTGCCCTCAAAGCACCGGCTCCTCTCTGATCCTCCTGCAGGTTGTGGGTCCAATGTCTCCTTTAATACCAGACCCCACAGAAAACTAAACCATGTATAATTGTACATGTTGGTGTCTGTTACAATGTCTTGATGTTTCAGTCCAAATCCAAAGATTGTGGTCGTAACATGAACTTTGGCAAGGCACTGGAGGTTGTTTTTGTTCATTTGAGCCAAAATGCCTGTTTAACACTGTAGAGCCACCTGCGGATTACAGACAGAGAAGACAAATGTAGAGAGAAGGTCATGGAGATCAGTGAACACACAATGACCAAGACTCAACTCAACAACAACAAATATGAAATTATGTGCAATTAATGCGTCCATCTTTGAATACTGCAAAGGTTTCAATGTGAAGAAAGGTCCTGGGTCTACAGCCTCAGTCCTGGATCTACAGCCTCAGTCCTGGATCTACAGCCTCAGTCCTGGGTCTACAGCCTCAGTCCTGGATCTACAGCCTCAGTCCGGGATCTACAGGCTCAGTCCGGGATCTACAGCCTCAGTCCTGGGTCTACAGCCTCAGTCCGGGATCTACAGCCTCAGTCCTGGGTCTACAGCCTCAGTCCGGGATCTACAGCCTCAGTCCTGGATCTACAGCCTCAATCCTGGGTCTACAGCCTCAGTCCTGGGTCTACAGCCTCAGTCCGGGATCTACAGCCTCAGTCCTGGGTCTACAGCCTCAGTCCGGGATCTACAGCCTCAGTCCTGGATCTACAGCCTCAATCCTGGGTCTACAGCCTCAGTCCTGGGTCTACAGCCTCAGTCCTGGGTCTACAGCCTCAGTCCGGGATCTACAGCCTCAGTCCTGGGTCTACAGCCTCAGTCCGGGATCTACAGCCTCAGTCCGGGATCTACAGCCTCAGTCCTGGGTCTACAGCCTCAGTCCGGGATCTACAACCTCAGTCCTGGATCTACAGCCTCAGTCCTGGATCTACAGCCTCAGTCCTGGGTCTACAGCCTCAGTCCTGGGTCCACAGCCTCAGTCCTGGGTCTACAGCCTCAGTCCTGGGTCTACAGCCTCAGTCCTGGATCTACAGCCTCAGTCCTGGATCTACAGCCTCAGTCCTGGGTCTTGTTGTATAATTAAAATGTTGTATATTTTAATATTTGACCATTTGGACATCATAGCCAAAAAAGACCTCTGTGCACTCAGGAAAAACCCCAAGGACACAAGATAGTATACAAACTAGACAATTATTGACTCCAAGTATAAGCAGGGCTCTCTCTCTCTCACTTTGGGCGAGAGCAAAGTCCAACACAATCAGGCGCCGCAGGGGTGGGGGCATTGTTTGCTCAGGTGGAGATGGAAGACCAAGACCGGGTCCAGACCAGGACCAGGGGCCAGACCAGTCCCAGACCTGTGACGTCATCGGACCCTGGGCCCAAGACCTCCCTGATACGACACGCCCCCTGCTCCCTGAACATCGACTAATAAGGCTCTGGCTTGGGCAGAAACAGAAGAATCAGCAGAGGGCCAGAGAGGGACATGCATAGTTTTAGGAGCCCTCTTTGTTGGAATTTCTGTATCTGATTGTAAAGATAATTAAATACAGATGTTAAAACTTGGAGATCTGTTGTCATGCCTCTGCATCAACTCGAACACGTCAGTCAAGGGAATTATTGACTTCAGTCTACAGCCTCAGTCCTGGGTCTACAGCCTCAGTCCGGGATCTACAGCCTCAGTCCTGGATCTACAGCCTCAGTCCAGGATCTATAGCCTCAGTCCTGGGTCTACAGCCTCAGTCCGGGATCTACAGCCTCAGTCCTGGATCTACAGCCTCAGTCCTGGATCTACAGCCTCAGTCCTGGGTCTACAGCCTCAGTCCTGGATCTATAGCCTCAGTCCTGGATCTACAGCCTCAGTCCTGGGTCTACAGCCTCGATCCTGGGTCTACAGCCTCAGTCCTGGGTCTACAGCCTCAGTCCTGGGTCTACAGCCTCAGTCCTGGATCTATAGCCTCAGTCCTGGATCTACAGCCTCAGTCCTGGGTCTACAGCCTCAGTCCGGGATCTACAGCCTCAGTCCTGGATCTACAGCCTCAGGCCGGGATCTACAGCCTCAGTCCTGGGTCTACAGCCTCAGTCCTGGGTCTTGTAATGACAGTTTTTAGAGTAATCACATTAAAACCAGCCGCAGCAAATACACGGACGTCAAAGGCCTTTTATCAATGCAGAGACGCCCTTCTGACGCCATGCTGAGCTTTGTGAAGGTCCCTGCTGTCTGTCACACCCTTGTGTCTTTCGCATCTCGCATCTGTATGCTTGCATTTCTACCATTGTCTGTCTGTTCGCACCTCCATGCCCTGTGTCTGATTGCCTCACCACAGGGGCATGGCGCCTGCGCTCCCTATGCGCCTCCTTCACCGGTGGCCCCCTCCCATCTGTTGTGGGCGTGACGGTCTTTCTATGTAAACAGGAAGCCTGAGCTCTGCGAGCCAGAGCTGGGTATGCTGCCTTTTGGATATGCTAGCTCTCCGCACGTGTGTTACAATAAACTTACGCTCCTGATTTAAGACAAATACTTTTGGGCTTTCTCCTTGCTTTGGGGTATATAATTCTATAACAGTCTACAGCCTCAGTCCTGGATCTATAGCCTCAGTCCTGGATCTACAGCCTCAGTCCTGGGTCTACAGCCTCAGTCCTGGGTCTACAGCCTCAGTCCGGGATCTACAGCCTCAGTCCTGGGTCTACAGCCTCAGTCCTGGATCTACAGCCTCAGTCCTGGATCTACAGCCTCAGTCCTGGATCTACAGCCTCAGTCCTGGATCTACAGCCTCAGTCCGGGATCTACAGCCTCAGTCCTGGGTCTACAGCCTCAGTCCTGGGTCTACAGCCTCAGTCCTGGGTCTACAGCCTCAGTCCTGGATCTACAGCCTCAGTCCTGGGTCTACAGCCTCAGTCCTGGATCTACAGCCTCAGTCCTGGATCTACAGCCTCAGTCCTGGGTCTACAGCCTCAGTCCTGGGTCTACAGCCTCAGTCCTGGGTCTACAGCCTCAGTCCTTTCTCAATGTGGCTCTCCCTGAGGTTTCTCACTTTTCCCCTATGGACCAATGGCTCCTGTGTGTCTGTTATTATTGCATTTCCTGTATCTGAACAGTCTGATTCTCTGATCTGTTGGTGATGAATCCACTTATTTGTAAAGTCCTCCGAGACGACTGCTGCTGTGGTTTAGGTCTGCACACAAACACATTGGATCGAAGGTTTTCCTCAGCTGGAAGAACAAAAGTCCAGATTTGCTGATAGCACAGAATCTTGTCTTATAAATAGCTTGTGAAGTCCTTCCGCTGTCTGTCCCAGTCCCAGTCCCAGTCCCAGTCCCAGTCCGAGGCCCCTGGTCCCTCCTCATTCCAGGATGTCCGTCTCGAAGGGAACCAGGTGGTAGTAAGAGAGGTTAGTGACGTAGGCCTCGGGATCATCCTCACACAGCTCTGTCTCCAACGGCAACAAGTCTGGACCATCCTCGAATCTGACACAGACAGAAATAATGCACATGTTTTTAAATGTGCGACGAGTCGAGGTGAGCGATTATTGGCACCAGTATCAGCACCAGTATCAGCACCAGTATCAGCACCAGTATCAGCACCAGTCAATATTCTGGTGTCTCTCTAGTTTTACTCTGGTCTCTCTGGTCTCTTTCTTTTTGATCTCTCTCTCTTGTCTCTCTCTTGTCTCTCTCTTGTCTCTCTCTCTTTGATCTTTCTCTCTGGTCTCTCTCTCTCTTTGATCTCTCTCTCTCTCTGGTCTCTCTCTCTTTGATCTCTCTCTCTGATCTCTCTTTTGTCTCTCTCTGGTCTCTCTCTTGTCTCTCTCTCTCTCTTTGATCTCTCTCTCTCTGATCTCTCTCTCTGGTCTCTCTCTCTGGTCTCTCTCTCTGATCTCTCTCTCTGATCTCTCTCTCTCTGTTCTCTTTCTCTGGTCTCTCTCTCTAATCTCTCTCTCTCTGTTCTCTCTCTCTGGTCTCTCTCTCTGATCTCTCTCTCTCTGCTCTCTCTCTCTGGTCTCTCTCTGGTCTCTCTCTCTAATCTCTCTCTCTCTGATCTCTCTCTCTGGTCTCTCTCTCTGGTCTCTCTCTCTGATCTCTCTCTCTGATCTCTCTCTCTCTGTTCTCTCTCTCTAGTCTCGCTCTCTGATCTCTCTCTCTGATCTCTCTCTCTGATCTCTCTCTCTGGGCCTCTATAATTACTGTTAAACAAATCCATGACCAGGTTAGCTTGATTAGCTACGGTTATTTAGCATTTCAGCTTATATCGGCACAAACAGTTTTGACTACAATAAACATTTGTTTTGTTTTTAGACAAAGGGACTGGTCTGTGCACTGAGGATAATGCATTATACGCTTGTGTTTTCCCGCAGCTGTTGTGTAACTGTTAGAAACGCAGTATGAGCTTCCTCCACACACAGGAAGCAAGAGGCTCTGACTTCCTGCTGGAAACGGATGAAAGACGCTGGAATCTCAAACACGCACAGTTCTCCAGAGAGTTTCAGGAGGAAATCCACACCTTCCAAAACAACTGCAGCTGAAGACAATCCCAACTACAGTCAGTGTTGTTAGATATGAGCCTGTGTAAAAGTCTCTGCCCATTGTATTCACTTCAAGTTGAATTTTGATTTGATTTATCTGTTATTTGAGGCTTTAAGACCCTGAGAGAGACCAGAGAGGGACCAGAGAGGGACCAGAGAGAGAGACCAGAGAGAGAGACCAGAGAGAGAGACCAGAGAGAGACCAGAGAGAGAGACCAGAGAGAGACCAGAGAGAGACCAGAGAGAGACCAGAGAGGGACCAGAGAGAGAGACCAGAGAGAGAGACCAGAGAGAGAGACCAGAGAGAGACCAGAGAGAGAGACCAGAGAGAGACCAGAGAGAGACCAGAGAGAGACCAGAGAGACCAGAGAGAGACTAGAGAGAGACTAGAGAGACCAGAGAGAGACCAGAGAGAGACCAGAGAGACGAGAGAGACTAGAGAGACTAGAGAGAGACTAGAGAGAGACCAGAGAGAGACCAGAGAGAGACCAGAGAGGGACCAGAGAGAGAGACCAGAGAGAGACCAGAGAGACGAGAGAGACTAGAGAGACTAGAGAGAGAATAGAGAGAGACCAGAGAGAGACCAGAGAGGGACCAGAGAGAGAGACCAGAGAGAGACCAGAGAGTGACCAGAGAGAGAGACCAGAGATAGACCAGAGAGAGACCAGAGAGGGACCAGTGAGAGAGAGACCAGAGAGAGACCAGAGAGAGACCAGAGAGAGAGACCAGAGAGAGACCAGAGAGAGACCAGAGAGGGACCAGTGAGAGAGAGACCAGAGAGGGACCAGAGAGACCAGAGAGAGACCAGAGAGAGACCAGAGAGAGACCAGAGAGAGACCAGAGAGGGACCAGAGAGAGACCAGAGAGAGACCAGAGAGAGACCAGAGAGAGACCAGAGAGAGACCAGAGAGAGACCAGAGAGAGAATAGAGAGAGACCAGAGAGAGACCGGAGAGAGACTGGAGAGAGACAAGAGAGAGAGAGAATAGAGAGAGACCAGAGAGAGACAAGAGAGAGAGAGAATAGAGAGAGACCAGAGAGAGACCAGAGAGAGACCAGAGAGAGACTAGAGAGAGACCAGAGAGAGCTGGGGAGGGGATAACGTACGTGTTTTCTGTGGAGTCTGTGGATGACGGTCGCTCCTTCTCCTCTGGACTCTGGTCAAACACGATGGTTTCTGTGTTTGCCAAACAGAAACCATTGGACCTCATGATTTCTGAAACACACAAACACATGGTCACTTTCTCTGCTCAAGGTTCCCCTACCAATAAAGTGCAGCTTGGAATACAACAAAAAGAGAGAGACCAGAGAAAATACCAGAGAGAGACCAAAGAGAGAGAGAGAGAAGAGAGAGAGACCAGAGAGAAACCAGAGAGAGACCAGAGAGACCAGAAAGAGAGAGACCAGAGAGAGACAAGAGAGTGACCAGAGAGAGACCAGAGAGAGACCAGAGGGAGACCAGAGAGAGACCAGAGAGAGACCAGAGACAGACAAGAGAGAGACCAGAGACAGACCAGAGAGAGACAAGATAGAGGGACCAGAGAGAGACAAGAAACAGCGAGACCAGAGAGAGAGAGAGAGAGAGACCAGAGAGAGACCAGTGGAGCCTCACCTTGGGCGTAGTACAGTTTTTGAAAACATAAATACTATTGAATTCAACATCTAACTTTGAAACTGCAGCAGTATCGAGGCCGCCTTCCCCAGAGCAGTACCTGAGATGTTGATGGGGCTCTGGAAACAGGGCTGTATCCGGTGGACTTTGTCGTTCCTCAGCACCTGGTCCAGAGGCGAGCGCTCGAAGAAGGTTAGCATGACCTCGGATCTGGAATACTGCAGAGAGGAGCCGTTAGCAACACCATGAGGACTCCTCCAGACGTCACATGGTCCTGGAGCATGTGGAGACCAGAACAGAGGACCTTACTTTGCACGGCATGTGGATCGCACTCTTCAGCAGCCGCTCCACCTCGTTCAGCTTCTCCTCAATGTCGCTGGCCTCTTTGACTTTTACCAGTCCTGGAAAAAATAAATAATTATAAACAAGACGATTATCTCTGGTTTGTTAGCCGATTTTCATCGGCTAACAAGCGGCTGTTTGGACACGACAATCTCTAGGACGCTAGGATTGTTCATTGGCATTTACTTTTAACATTTACCCTCTGTCCTATTGTCTGGGTCTACAATCTCAGTCCTGGATCTACAGGCTCAGTCCTGGGTCTACAGCCTCAGTCCTGGGTCTACAGGCTCAGTCCTGGGTCTACAGCCTCAGTCCTGGATCTACAGGCTCAGTCCTGGGTCTACAGGCTCAGTCCTGGGTCTACAGCCTCAGTCCTGGGTCTACAGCCTCAGTCCTGGGTCTACAGGCTCAGTCCTGGGTCTACAGCCTCAGTCCTGGGTCTACAGCCTCAGTCCTGGGTCTACAGCCTCAGTCCTGGGTCTACAGCCTCAGTCCTGGGTCTACAGCCTCAGTCCTGGGTCTACAGCCTCAGTCCTGGGTCTACAGCCTCAGTCCTGGGTCTACAGCCTCAGTCCTGGGTCTACAGCCTTGGTGGTCTCTCCCAAAGAAAAGTGTTGCAAATGTTAGCTTTAGAAAAAAACAATGTGAGTGACCTTCTTTTGTTAATTGCATACTCATATTTTCAAAGGTTGTGTTATTCAAGTGCACCCATAAATGCCAGAACTAAAATAAGTTCATTTAACGCTTATACACTTCTTTTAATAAGACACATAAAAGGTCACACACGAAAACCTCAAATCAGCAACATCTGACAAATGCAAAAGAGAAAATCACAAGAAGGACAAGCATTGTAATATAAGATAAAGACAAAATATTTATATGAGAGGCTTTTGAAATCAGGCGGCAGGGTCCACAGACCATCAACAGGGACGAGGGGGCCTTTACCTCGGCTCACACTTGGGACTCAATTGTGTTTTTGGAGTGCCAACATTTCCCCTTCTCTCCACACAGGGAGCTATAGCCACATATATCTTTCACATGTTTATTATTGACAGTACATTTAAGAATCATTTACTCAAGAAGGGGTTAAACTTTTATATGCCACTAAAATAGATATGGGTTTTCAGGAATAGACTTGGTTAACGACTACGGTGGGCTGTGATTGGCTGGCTCATGCAGAGGGATGTGGAGATGACTCTCAGCTCAGAGCCACAGACTGAACATTTAAACAGAGCTCCAGTGGAAATACTGAGTCAGAGTCTTGGGACACAGAGGTGATGTCACACGCACACCGTTAGCTGTGACTGAGCAGGGTCTGTGTGGGGTGACTCAGGGCTGCGTACTGGGACATCATGGAGGTCAGACATAAAGCCACGTTAGCACAAGACATTCTCCAGCTACAGCAAAGTGCTAATTAGTGAACCCTTCCCCCACACAGGAAAGTGTCAGTTAGTTGGATGTTGGATGTTGGATAAAGCCATGTGGAGGAAGGATTAATAAATACCAATTAAGCGCTAATTAAGATAATGATTAACCATAAAAGACCAGAGAGAATCGAGAGAGATCAGAGAGAGACCGGAGAGAGACCAGAGAGACCAGAGAGAGAGAGAGACCAGAGAGAGAGAGAGACAAGAGAAAGACAAGAGAGACTAGAGAGAGAGACCAGAGAGAGACTAGAGAGACCAGAGAGAGACTAGAGAGACCAGAGAGAGACCAGAGAGACCAGAGAGAGAGAGAGACAAGAGAAAGACAAGAGAGACTAGAGAGAGAGACCAGAGAGAGACTAGAGAGACCAGAGAGAGACTAGAGAGACCAGAGAGAGACCAGAGAGACCAGAGAGAGAGAGAGACCAGAGAGAGAGAGAGACAAGAGAAAGACAAGAGAGACTAGAGAGAGAGACCAGAGAGAGACTAGAGAGACTAGAGAGAGAGACCAGAGAGAGACCAGAGAAAGACCAGAGAGAGAGAGAGACCAGAGAGAGAGACCAGAGAGACTCACATTAGCGGTTAATTAAGGCTTAAACCATTTTTCACCACAACCAACGCCATCCCAACAGGTTTTTATGCTTAAACACGTACCAGAGGACAACGCCCCGCCAACAACAGCAAATAAATAAAAGCATAACCTGAACCTGGACGGCCACAAGAAAAAATGCGCACCACGCGCCAACAGACACACGCCAAGAGGAAGACCGAAACTAAAAGGACCGAGTGTTCTGTATTTTCGTGGTGTTGCGACATCTATCGGACAACATTGGTGCAAAGGTCCTGTCAAACCCCCACAGAGAGACAACCAGTTTAATTGAAGGTCGTGACTAATGAAGAGCAGAATTCACGCACATAACCCTGTCAAAAACGACGGAACCAACGAAACGGCTCAGACGGCTCAGGTCATGTAGAAGTCTGTGCAAAAGGAACAAACACCACAGAAACAACAAACACCCCCAGATCACAGTCAAGCTCCCGAAGTCGTCACTCAAGCCTCCTCGGCAGCCCGGGCCTCTTCTCAGAAGCACTCACTCAAGCCGTCGGCTGTCCCTTCACTGTACATTGTTAGCTTTTATAAAATTTATAAAATTATAAAAAATTACCTCGAACCTACAACCGAGTCGAAGTCGCCCATATTACATCACTGTACCTGCCCCAACCCCGCCTCTCAGTACGAGTACTGTCTACAGGATTTGAATTAAAAAAAAAAACTTGCAGACTGTGTACGTTTATGTTAGAGAGGATTGGTTTATACTTACATTAAATTCGCACCCAACGAAATCGCACCAGATATGCCCAAAAACAGAAACATCGTCGGGTTTTGAAAATAGCGTGTTAACGGTCGCGGCCTAGTTTCTTATAACATTATTAAATTCCCTTCCTTCAATTTAACCAACGGGCGCCCTATTTTAAAAATTTTCCCTCATTTTTTTTTCCTATTTTATCCTATCCCAAAAGCGAAAAAAAAAAAACGACAAACGAGGCCCTATTGTATTTCTCCTTCTCCTTACTAGTTTTATTATTAAGCGCCCTACTTCTTATTTCCCGTATTTCCTCTTTCTATGTCCCTTCCCGACTTTTTTTCCTTTTTATCATAATTTTACCTAATTTTATCTCTCCTTCCTCCATTATTTCCTTCCCCCTAGCTTTTTTTATTCCATTTTCCTGTCCCCTCCGCAAGAAGAACAGACCCTAAACATTAATTTATCCATTTTTTATTAGTTTTCATTCCCTCCTGTTCCCCAGCCTATTCCTGATTTTAGTTATTTTTTTCCTTTCCTTTCCTTCCCCCCCCCTCCTACTAATTCCTTCTTTCTCCTATATTTCCTTTCCTTCCCCCACCACTGCAGAAGCAGTACACGAGTAGTACCCGACGACGCCCTAGATTAATTCCTTTTCCAACTTCCCCCCAACCCCGCAGAGAGCGAAAACGTACCTAGCAAAGACGTCAAAGAGGAAATAATAAACATGAGATTTCTGTTCACAAGCACACATGCTAATAGCAATATAGAGAAGGCCGCCGATGTGATCATTGATGTATAAACAACACTAACCGACTGGGCAAAGACCTTCTCCAAGTAGGACAAAAGGATGTAAGAGTGACCCAGAGAGAGAAGACACAGTAGGAAGGAGGCCCCAAGAGAGGGAGGTGAAGACCAGCAGAGAAGAAGACCATTCCGAGAAATGGGAGAGACCCTGCAACAGCTGAAGAGAGAGGTCCCAGATGAGGCCGAGGAGGACAGCTAGAGGCCAATAGAGGTGGAGGAGAGAAAGGGCCATACAGAGGGGAGCGGACCAATAGGGAGAGAGGGGGAGGGGGTGCCATATAGAGAGGGCCAGACCTAGAGAGGGAATATGGACCAGAAGTAGAGAACCAGACAAAGAGGGCCATAGTTGAAGGGAGTGACCAGAGAGTAGGCCCAAAAGGAGGGGCAAGTGATAGGGGCCTAACATAGAGATGAGTTGGGCCAGAGTAGAGGCCCGAGATCGAGACCAGAGAGGGCCAAGCGTGTGAGACCAGATGAGTATTAGACCAAGAAGAGCGGCTGGGGCCCTAGAAGTGGTGAGGGCCAGAGAGGAGGCCAGAGAGAGACCTAGAGAGAGTAGGACCAGAGAGAGACCAGAGAGAGAACCTGAGGAGAGAGGCCATGAGAGAAGAGACGCAGAGAGAGACCAGAGAGAGACCAGAGAGGAGACCAGAGAGAGACCAGAGAGAGACCAGAGAGAGACCAGAGAGAGGACCGAGAGAGAGACCCAGAGAGAGAGACCAGAGAGAGACCAGAGAGAGAGACCAGAGAGAGACCAGAGAGAGACCAGAGAGGAGAGACCAGAGAGAGACCAGAGAGAGACCAGAGAGAGAGACCAGAGAGAGACCAGAGAGAGACCAGAGAGAGAGCCCAGAGAGAGACCAGAGAGAGAGACCAGAGAGAGACCAGAGAGAGAGACCAGAGAGAGACCAGAGAGAGAGACCAGAGAGAGACCAGAGAGAGACCAGAGAGAGAGACCAGAGAGAGAGGGCCAGAGAGAGAGACCAGAGAGAGAGCCAGAGAGAGGACCAGAGAGAGACCAGAGAGAGACCAGACAGAGAGAGACCAGAGAGAGAGGCCAGAGAGAGACAGAGAGAGACCAGAGAGAGACCAGAGAGAGACCAGAGAGAGGACCAGAGGCGAGTAGAGAGAGACCAGACCAGAGAGAGAGACCGATGAGCGACCAGGAGAGAGACCAGAGAGAGCGAGAGAGACCAGAGAGAGAGACCAGAGAGAGACCAGAGGAGGGAGGACCAGAGAGAGACCAGAGGAGAGAGGACCAGAGAGACCAGAGAGAGACCAGAGAGAGAACGAAAGAACACCAGAGAGAGACCAGAGAAGAGGACTGAGGAGAGACCAGAGAGAGACCAGAGAGAGGACCAGAAGAGAGCAGAGAGAGACCAGAGAGAGAGACAGAGAGAAGAAGAGACCAGAGAGAAGAGAGAGAGACCAGCCAGAGAGAGACCAGAGAGAGACCAAGAAGAGAGAGACCAGAGAGAGGAGACCAGAGAGAGACCAGAGAGAGACCAGAGAGAGACCAGAGAGAGAGACCGATGGAGAAGAGGACCCCCAGAGACGAGACCAGACAGAGAGAGACCACGAAGAGAGACCGGGAGAGAGGGCCAGAGAGAGCGAGGGCCAGAGGAGAGAGACCGCAATGTCAAGAGTCGAACCTGAGAGAAGAGAAAGACCCCAGAGAGCAGAGGACCAGAAAGGAGAGACCAGAGAGACCGAAGACCAGAGAGAGAGACCTAGATGAAGAGTTCAGAGAGACCGCACCATGCTTAGCAGCGAGACCAGCGACGAGACAGCAGAGGAGACCAGTAAGAGAGAACCACACCGAGAGTAGGACAGAGAGACGACGCAAGAGTAAGAGCGACCTAGAGAGAGAGGACCCGAGAAGGAAGACCTGAGACCAGAGACCTAGAGAGGAGACAAAGAGAGAGTGTGAGACTCACTGAGAGAGACCAGGAGAGAGTGCACCCCAGCAGAGAGTACCAGAAGAGAGACCCCAGACGAACACAAGAGAAGAGACCAGAGAGAGACAGCAGAGAGAGAGACCAGAAGGAGGGAGAGACCTGAGAGAGACAAGATAAAGGCGCGTGGGGGAGGTAGAGACCAAGTGAGAGACATGAGAGGAGGAAGGAGACCCAGAGAGGGAAGGGAGGCCAGAAAGCGAGAGAGAGACCCAGAGGAGAGGGAGGGTTCCAATAGAGGAGAGACCCTGGAGTGAGAGAAAAGAAGAACCCCAAAGTAGGGAGATGGGGAGAGCAGAGACCACCCCAACCAGCAGAGAGGCCAACAGAGAGAGGAATCGAGAGCCGACAGGAGAGAGTAACCCATAGAGAGGGACCCTCCAGCTAGAGAGAGGAAGGGAAGGGCCAGAGAGAGATCCAAAGAAGGAGAAGAGACAGAGAAAGGCAGAAGTTAGGTTCCCACGCAGCAGGAAGAGGAGAGAGGACCCGAGAGGAGAGAGGGTAGGGGGAAGAAGAAAAAACCCATCAGCCAAGCACCAGAAGAGAGGGGTGGATATCCCCCCAGGGGATGATGGCTAGAGGGGCCCCGTGTGGGAGGCCAAGGCCATAAAACCCCCGGCACAAGAAGGAAGGAAGGAGGCGGTGGAAAAGGTAGAGACGAGGACCGCAAGCTAGGAGGAGACCCCTGAAGGAGGAGGGGGGAGTCCAAGAGGAGATGAAGAGAGAAAACAAACCCCCCTATCACCCCCGACTTCCAAACACCCTCTCCTCACAAATCATCCAGAAAGAGAACGATATGCAAAACTCATGAAGCTACAAGCCCACCAGCATAACACGAACAAAATAACAAAAAAACAACAAAACAACTGAGGGAAGGAGGAAAAAAGGTGAAAATAAGTGAGGAGGAGAAGAGCAATATTATACAAAAATTAATTTTTTTTTCATTTTCATTATATATTTACTGTCTAATATCCCTTTCGGCTTGGGTCCGCGGCTGCCAGAGAGTCTCCCATCACCAGTCCCTTCCTCCATCGTTCCTCCCATTCCCAGAACTATAATCTGTCCCTCTCCTGCCTTCTACTCACGTACATCCGTGAAGCACATCCCGGATCAAAATATCGCCCGGGGTTCTCCCTCACACTCATCCCGTTCCTCCCCCCACGCGTCATGGGACATTCCCCACATGACTGGCCGTTATCCTCTACGGCCCACTACTCCCATGGACCCCGTTCAAGGCACAGGGTCTCCCTCTCCCATGCCTCTACTCGCTCTTCGAGGTTCATCTTCTCACCAACCAAACCTACCCCTACGCCCTCATGGCCACTTCAGTAGGTTCTCTACATCTAAATACTCCGTAAGAAACTCCCTCATACAGTCGTGAAATTCTAGTCAGTCAGACTCGGAAAAACTCCTCCCACCGGTCTAAAGAACATCACAGCTGTTCGGTCCTCTCACTTCATGGTCTCTGAGGAGGGGCCTCATTTCTCTCTCTTAAAATCATCGCGGGGTCCTCTGGAGAAAGGAGGTTGTAGAAAGGATGAGGGGTAGAAGGTGCGGTTATAGGATGGGGTGTGATAGGATGAGGTGTAGAGGATGTCATACCTAATTTTAACAATTATGTTCTTGTGAAGGTGTGATCGAACATGTAGGAATGTCAGTGTAAGGTTAGGAGTTGTATCACCAAAAGGAGGCAATCATTCAAATGAAGAATAGAAAAAAGCAGGAAGAAGAGTTTGGATAAGACAAGGTTAGAGTATGAGAGGTTTACAGTATAAGAACGAGGTTGAGTTTCAGAAAAGGTTAGAGTTTTAGACGGAGGTTAAAGTTAAGACAGTGTTAGAGATAAGAAGTGCTAGAGTATAGAAGAGGTTAGAGTTTTAAGACAGAGAATAGAGTTTACAGAAGGTTAGAGTTTTAGAAGGGTTAAGTTTACGAAGTGGTTGAGTATAGAAGGTTAGAGATTAAGAAGAGGCTTGAGTTTACGAGAGATTAGGTTTGCAGAAAAGGATTAGAGATAAGCGGACTTAGAGTTTAAGCAGAGTTAGGTATAAGAAGATAGAGAATCGAAAAGTAGAGTTTAGCAGATGTTAGAGTTTACGAGAGCTTAGAGTTTAAGGAAGAGGCTTGGTATA